TCTCTCTCTCTCTCTCCTCCTATATCTCCTCTCCTCCTCCTCTTCTCTTCTCTCTCTCCTCTCTCTGCTCTCTCTCTCTCTCTCTCTCTCTCTCTCTCGCTCTCTCTCTTCTCTCTCTTTCTCTCTCTTATCTCAAGATGTGGCGGAAGCAATCAGGTGGGATGCAAAAAGCTCACATGTCACCATCGGTTGCTTCTGAATGTAAACGACTGCTCTAGGCAACGTGATTTCGTTTTTTTGGAAATACGCTCCTCATGCTCATCGCTGATTACGTCACGGAAAGTTGTGTGACGTCAGAGCAGTGTCCTAGAATTGCTGACTGGATACAAAGCAACACCCTCTGAGTAGGAATTTTTCACCCCTTTTCCCCACATTTTACGTGAATTTTTCACTCTTGCCTGACATTGTCAAATCGCACATGCCGAACCCCTATTTTCCTTTCTGAGGTTTTCAGGTGTCTTCTACAACCGAGCTCACTTGAAACCACCAAGCATAAACGAGGCTCCACTGAGCCTGGACACCTATGGCTATGTCCCGCCTCACCTACACCTGAATCATGTCTCTGTATGCACAGAGCAAGGGAGCCAGGTACCTCCAAGCCCAGGAACCCAAGCGACTCCAGACGCTTGCACGCGGCTTGGTTTGCTGACAAAATGCATCACAATCGGCAGCTGTGTGCAAAATACAAGGTTTTCACGCATCGCTCATTTTTTTGGCCTCACCACCACACCACGAAAGCAGAGCCTGGTGCAAACACCAGCAAAGCCTGGTAGAAAATTTTACTCCACGTATCTTTTTCCCCGACGAAGCTTGACCACTAAATCGCATCACTCTCGAAACGCAGGAGTGAAAAACTCAAGAAACGTCTTCTAAATTTAATTTACAAGATGACTATCACCATTTGAGCACTCACGTTAGGATATTTTAAGTCAAGTCAGCTTATAACAAAATGTTCCCAGAAAAGTGTCGGTCTCTATATTTAGTTAACCAGCTTTGTTTTTTTGGTATCATGCGAGTGTGATACCACTTTATTCTTCATTCCTTTTCGATTGCCTTTAGAGGTACCATCTTGCCTAAAATGTTGACCAATTTCTCTGCAAGGTGCTCCAACTGCAAACTTCTACGTATTTCATACATAAATTGGATAAATTCATCAGTCGCCCAAACATGTTTATATGCACCCAAGAGTGAACAATTCACGGGGAATGAAAGGGACAATTTGAAGCACGGGATTATTTTTACCGCCATTTTTGCCCTGTAAAATCCTCAGTAAACCGTTCTCTTAGTTCACGGCGGAGCTCAATAATGATAAATCTAAGCCTTTCGAGTGTCTATTTCGCCAGGCTACCTGACAAGGCTATCCTAATCCCGCCATACAGAGCTTTGAGACAGACCTGACGCACCTAATACAGAAGTGTTTGATGGCGAAATTCTGCCCTCTGGAGGTGCTTATCATGCACATCTCTTACTTTCTTCGCATTTTAATCTCGTAGGTTGGTGGGCATGATTGATATATATATATATATATATATATATATATATATATATATATATTGGGGGGGGGGGGGTGAGTGGGATGATTCTGCCTGCCAGCAGACCATGCAAAAGGTACTGAATTTTTGTTTTCGGGGGGAGCAGGAAGCCAGAAGCAGTAAGCCTCCTATGGACCAGGTAATGCTTACCTTACCTGCTTTCAACACATGATTGGTAACCAGGGTTAGCCATTTTCTGATTTTATCCATCGAGTTTCGTCCTAAGACAAACTGAGATGCCACAAGGCATGCATTAGGCTTATTTTACTCTATTATTCTTGGTTATTTGCCCCAAATTTCTTGAAATGGTCCCTCATGGCTGCTTCAACCAGATGTTTCTATAGTTATCATGATTTGCTGACTGGCAAATGACTGTACTGTAAATATGCACCATATTTTTAACACGGGATACTCTAAGTTGCATGGCAATTATAATATGACTCCAATATTAGTATACAACAGATAGCCAGACCATCCCATTTAAAATGTGAAGCATCTCAAACTTTGCTATTAAATATGAATAAACAAGCCTTAATAAATGCCTTTGCTTCAGCTGAAAAGGCAAGCAGCAATACTGGCATGGTCATCTAATAATTATATTACTTTTGGAGAAGAGAGATTGTTTTGTGGAGCATACCCATTATTACCGTTGACATAGGTAAACCATGGCAATCAAAATAGGTTGTTCAAAGTGATTTGAAGTGTTTTGATTCGTGTGTTGTCAACTTTGTCTGATGTCAACAAGGATACACAAATGAACTGAATAAAAATGCAAGTTGAAACCATCCAAAAATTAGCTTTATCATGTTTTTATCACAAGTGCTGATGTCAACAGATAAGTGACTTGAGATGATTTTCAACATATGGGCTACTCTAAGTTAGGTTAAGCTGGTGAAGCGCATGGCAAGTGGCAATAGGAATTGTGCAGGAAGCAGTAACTCACAACTGCGATCGCTGGCATTTGGGCTTCGTTGTGAGCGTTTGCACACGTGAAGAGGCAAAAAAATCGTCCACATGCCCACGAGCGTGGGAAAGTCATATCAACGCTTGCCTATCATAAAACAGACTGAAACGCTCCCGTCGTTCAAAGTTCTGTTAAACACATATTTCCACATCACGCTGAGTGCGGCGAATTTACGCGCATTACAACACTGAAAGCGAAAATATGTTTTAGTGGCCTGAACCTTTTAAGCGATGACGTGTGGGGAGACAGTTTGTGGGCAATTTGTGGGCACACTTCAATGTCTCCCAACTTTTTTAACGGTCATGTTAGTTTGGTTTTTGATATGCACCTCGTCTTGACTGCGTAAATTCCTCCGCCTAAAAAAAATAACCGCTCACTGAAGGCGTGAATTCGCCATATGAACCCCATATGGCGTCATAGTATCGTCAATCTGAGTTTGTGCACCAGCTCTTTTTATGAAAGGAATAGGACAAGCAATTTAACTCATAAATACCACTTCAAACATCTTTGTTATTAACAAAAATAAGCGTGCTGCAGATATGTGGATTTAAAACTAATGAAGTCATTATCATCTTTGCACAAAAGCTATCTAGACGTTGACATATCTAGACTCTGACAATTAGGAAATGCTGCTATCATAAATCTAGAGCTGTTTCAAATCACATTGCCTTCTAATGTCTGTTTGGTGCTATGAAATGTGCATATATGAAAATTATCTTCATAAATTCCCTCACAAGTTAGTTGAGAACGCTAGTTTAGGAGTGATTTTATGCTTAGGCTTAAGTAAACGTTCTGGTATATGCCAGGGGGTCTCAATTTGGTGATAAAGCATATGTTAGAGCTTGCTAAGTAAAACAGAACCATAACTTGAGCATAGGACTAAATCCATTCAGTGCAAGATTTAGGCTGCTTTCGGGCTTACATCTTTCTTACATCTTTATAATAGCTTGCATGCTGGTTGATCGCTTCATAAGGCAATTTCCACTAGGTAGATTGAATTGGTGTCCCATGAGAAGAAAACCACCTCATGTGTGGCTGCTTGGCGTGTTGATTCATACAAGTTTAGATGACGTCATTGAACCATTTGAATCAATCAAAAGTCATTATTTGGCTGTTTTTGTACAATATGGGCAACTAGAACACTCAATATCAATCTAGTATTGGAGTATTGTGTATGTAAGGTAAGGAAGAGGCCTGCCTCACTCACTTTTTGGCATGAATGAAAGGAATCCTTTGAAACCATTCATCTTTTTGATGGGCATTATTGCAGTCTCATTCACTGAAAGGAAGGAAGTACAATCGATTCCCCGAAAAAATTATGGTGTGTAAAATGCACTTGAATATAAAATTCAACAGTCAGCATCTTTGAGACCTGCCTTTTTTCTGGCTGTAAATCATGTTAAGGAGACAGTTCAAACCATTTATTTTGTATGATACAGGTGAAGGCTTTTTTACCTCTGCGCACGTGTGTGCGTGCGTGTGTGTTGGAATAGTATAATACATGACGATATCTTTGTGTGTTTTGGCGCGCAATGATATGAACCAGAAAATACAACAGAATGTTAGTTCTAGCTTACACGTGAAAATTTTTGTTTAGCTACGGCCTGTGCTCCCGGACCAAAGACGCTTGCCCAAGGGTGGAATGTGAGGCATTTATGCCACTGTCATCAATTAGACTGCAACCAAAAGTTCATCCGTTAATCTTAATCTAAGGTCCTCATTCGCGCAGTTTCCGGCCGAAGAGCCTATTTGTACGAACAAAGACACTACCTCGCCAAACTCCCGCTGATCCCAAATGAAGACTGCTGTCATGCGTTTCCGGCGGCTTAGCGCAAGTTCTATTTTGAGCTGACTCACGTCATCGAATCGCTCTGCGTCGCATTAGCCGCAGAAAGATGGCAGCCCGGGGCGCTCTGCGTTGGCCGCCGCCAGGGTGGGAGACGCTGAGGCAAGGCGGCCATCGGGCTCAACGTTCAGCGAGCAGGCCGACCCCCGTCCATCAGCTCAAAATCTGCCCACCCTAATGCAGTTGCAGCGGGTGACAAGATCACGCGCGCCACCGCGCTGACTCAGTGCCGGTGTGGCCGGGAGAAGCGATGTTAGGTCTGGGTCCCTGAGGCGATGCCTCCTGCTTCACAAGCAGCTGTGATATGCCTCGGCCACGCTGTACAAGAGAGGCCAGCGCGGGCCTCGGGTGACGCGGCAACATTGCACGTCATTTTTGCTGGGGTGCGTGTGCGAAAGTATAGGGACTTTCGACATCTGAGGAGGCTAAGGGCACGACCATCCGCACTGGGCCGGTTCCAGGACGCGTGGCCGCTGCTTCGCCAGGCGAGCCGGCAAATGAAAAGAGCTGAGCAAGCCAGATCAGGAAATAACCGCAGAACGACAAAATGCCCAGCACGATTTTGTCTATCTGTGTTGGTCTAGGGAGCACATGCGTTGGGAAATATGCACAGGCGGAGAGTGCCCAACCATCAAAATGCTTAGTCTGCTGCATCCCTGATTCCAAACATTCCTAACCACAGAAAGTCGACAAATTGCAAGGATGTACAAGTCGGCAAGGACAACTCCGCATTCATTGCGTCTGGCGTAAGCAAATTATCGTGATGACTTCAGTCGTGTGAGCCATGGCGTTGTTAATGCGTCTACCCAACGCCTGTGGCTGTGTCTCTCTTGCTGTTCTTTGGCGACGTTTCGAACATTTCACAACACATTCGGTATGTAATTAAAGTTTACAAGCACGCATGCTATTTTCTGTACGTAAGTAGGCTGCCATGGCTAGACCAGATCTATTACCAACGATCGCTATACTTGATCTTAGGCTGGTTCTTAGGCTCGATTTTGCACTGAACCTGAGTCAAGTCATGACTGTGCGCAGACTTGCCCAAAAAGGTGATATTCCACCTCTCACAAGCAGAAAATTCCGAATTTGAATTCCGTCTTTGATCCCCAGTTTAGTTAACTCGGGTGAGAATCACGCGTCACATTTGACGGCACGTGGCGTCACTTGCTTTTTGATGCGTGTACGACGCGCTTAAAAAAAATGTTTGTTTGAGTAAACGCCCATAACACAGCGCCGAACCGCGCTACACTTCCCCCCACGAAATAGTGCGTACGTTTCTTGCATACATTCGCGCCACGTCCATCCAATGCGAGCTTAACTTGTATTTTAAGTTGGTAAACGCAACTCAATCAGCTTGTGAGTTTCCACATAGCCCAAATACTGCATGATCACACAGTGACTTTGCGGAGCTGTTGTGCAATGCACTACGTGTTTGCGACCATGAAAATTCACGGATTTCATGTAAACAGGAAAGCAAGCAAAGTGGACTCGGATTTGGCCTCGCCTGCATGACTGCGTTCGTTCGCTCCATTCAGTCATTCATTCACTACGTCTGAGCTAGCTGTGGATGCCACCAGCCCTCTTCACAAGATTTTTCGTTACTGACGCTCCCATCAAACATCAATCAGTTTGTGACCGCTGATAATTGCATAGCGTCGGCCAGCAATCTGCTGCACGCGCACTCAAATTACGTGTAAACAAACACCGACGCGCTCCGTGATAGCAGCTAAAAGCCCCGGCCCCTGTTTCCGCGCTCGACCACTGCATTATGCAACGGCATCCTCGTAACCTCATCTCAGTCTCAAGTAATTGGTTTGCGAGCAAAGTGCTGCGTCCAGCCCGTGGTGTGTAGTTATCCGTGTCATAGATCAGCCAGCGCCCACCCCGACGATGGCGCCCCTGAGACGAGCTCCGAGGAGGCACTGCTTCTCGCAGAACGGTCGTCGAGCTCTGTACGTGCTTCGCAGGGGCACGAGTGGAATCGACATTGACCTGCGGCGCGTCGACATCGACCAGTGCCCGCAGAGGCGGAACAGCACCGACGTCAATATCTTCGCCGGTTCCGACAAATGCAAGGAGAGAACGACAAAGGTGGGTGCCATCGGCATGATGTACCGCAGGCCTGACGCTGGGACGCCGACTTCCTCTCCGCGATGCGTGAGCTGGGGTGAAAGAATGGATTCGTGGTAGTTGTGCAGCGACCGCGCCGGAATCCTTGACCAGTAACGAGGCTCCGGCACACGCTGCTGCAGGGAGCGTTAGTGTGATTTTAGACGTCGTATTTGAAGTTTCTACCTTTCCTCGGTGATCTATTTGGGCGCGTCACAAAACATTACACATTATTTGGTTGCATCTGATTATCGATATATCACCATCTGCTTAGATTTCATGATTCGCCACACCTCGTCAAAATATCGACAATGCGTCGAGCATAAAGCATCTAAATCGGCACTAAAATACTGTATCAAATACTATCCAGATGAGTTGGCGTGGAAAGGTCGGCACCTCAAAATGAACATATACCGGTCATGAGGCGGGCGGGTTTCCGGGAGAGGAGCTCGCCGCCGCAGCGCGCCCCCGCATCAGACGTCGCCCCCCGAGCCATTGACTGATCAGTTCCGGTATTGTCGACGGGAACGACACAGCGCGGTCCCGGTCGCCGCCGGCGGGAGGGTGGGACGAGCTTGGATGAGTGCCAGGCGGGGCGGGCACGCCGCTGGCAACCTATCAAAGGCTTCATTCAATTTACTGCGAGACATCAATAGGTAGCCAACGTAGCTTCAATGGCTTGTGTAATGATGAGGACAACATTGCTCGTATATTGTTGTGCTGCGGGAGAGGGATTGGCAGCCTCAAACAGGCCATTAACCGAGACGAGGCTTCATTTAGCGGGCGTTGGAGGCATGTTGGACACTGATAGCTCGTTGAGGGGGGGGGGGGGGGGGGAAGCTGTGATATGCTGCGACTCGTCGTCATATGATATGCCATGGCTTGTCGCCATACGATACGCCGAGAGTTGCTGCCATGGCGATTACGAGCTTAAAGACATGCTTTTGGACGAGAACAGTTAAATGCACCGGAAGATCAGTCCCGAACCGTGCGTGCTCCACCAAAAAATGTTTTGGACGAGAACAGGTGTGTGCGCCAAAGGATCAGTCCCGGGCCGTGCGTGCCTCACCGTGCTCCGCGCTCATCCCGGCTGGTGCCCCACCGTGCTCCGCGCTCATCCCGGCTGGTGCCCCACCGTGCTCCGCGCTCGTCCCGGCTGATGCCCCACCGTGCTCCGCGCTCATCCCGGCTGGTGCCCCACCGTGCTCCGCGCTCATCCCGGCTGGTGCCCGCCGTGCTCTGCGCTCGTCCCGGCTGATCCTAGCCAACAACCTAACCATTGACGGAACACTGTTCGAACACAGTCTGTCTTGTATCCCATTACAATGGCGAGATATCGCAGTGACAAGTGCCATTTGGCACTCATTATTAATTTCGCCACTGCTCGATAAAAAGGAGAAGGAAATCGGAAAGGTCTAATCACAAATTCATAATGGACGATGATACATCATTTGAATTTTAGTCGCGCGCTGGTGCCAGTTCTCACCAGCATCGGGAGGAAGTTTTACGAGAGACAAAGATGTATTCTGGATTGAAGGACACTAATCAATGACTATACACGTTGGAGTGTACGCACCATTCAGTTCTGTACTAAACTGGTTTTGCGCGCCAATATTCCATAGCATCTCGCTATGCAACTATATTGCACAATTGCAGGCATGCGGGGTTTTCGCATATTGAATGATATACGTCTTTCGGCAGAAAATAAAAATTCGGACACTACAAAAATGGAGAGCACTCGAGGTCGTACCTAGATGTGCGTGTTTAAAGGGTGGTGCGTACCTTTCCGTCTTGCTCTACCCTGTACTGGGACTTATATCCTAATTCACAATCACATTTTAGTCGTGCCGTGTCGTCTGGCAGTGTCCTGGCATATGGTGAGGAGTGGTGCTAGTGATGTGTTTGGATGTATAGATCGGGGATGACCATATAACACGGGTGACAAAAAGTGCATTGTTCCTCTCGAAATGACAAGGGAACCATCGCCAGGGGTTTGACCAAACGCATGATTACCCGGCACATCTTGTATCTCTTGCCATAGCGGCATAGGCTCATTACTGCTCAACGCGTCGAGCCACCTTGTAGCCAAATGCCATTACGTGGGGGCAATGGCTTAAGCCTGCTCGTGGGCGTAATTGGCAATTGGTTTAGAGTCGCCGGGACCATATTTCGGGACCAAGTGAGGTCGTAAAGTGAAATGGACCTCGACGCCACCAATGCTTCAAAACGAATTACCGTTTTCCCCGGCATGCTCGTAAAAACTTACAAGCGTCACAATAACGAAGAGACGCTGGCGCCGACACGACGTCCTTCGACGTCCTTCGGCGCTCATTCAAGGAAACGGACCGGTGGCCGGCTCTTGGCACCGAGCACCGAGCCCAACCCAACGGTGTGCACGGACCGTGTCCAACGCTCCTCCCAATCCATCAGTCCTCCAGACACTTTCCGGGACGGTGGACTGGACTGTGTCCAACGCTCCTCCCCAATCCATCAGTCGCTCCAGACACTCTCCGGACGGTGCACTGGACTGTGTGCAACGCTCCTCCCAATCCATCAGTCGTTCCAGACACTCTCCGGACGGTGCACTGGACCGTGTCCAACGCCTCCCAATCCATCAGTCGCTCCAGACACTCTCCGGTTGGCCAAGACATGCTTGCTCAGAGCTGCCTGTGCCCCCAAGTCGGTCAGGTCAGGTCGAATTACATCCAGTCAGTGTGTCTCGGCGCAGCCCTGTCCGGTCTCGGAGCCGGTCCACACCTGGCCCTCGCCCAGCCCCTATTCTGGGCGTCTCTAATGCACCTCGTGGTTTAATTCCCAGCCTGATCCCTCGATGGGCCCTATCCTGATCCCCCCCCCCCCCTCCTGCCTTGACTGCAGCCCCGTCTGCCACCAGTCGCAGCAGAGAGGAGCCTCCGCTGGGGCTCAGGGCGGGAACCGCCGCCAGGCCTCCTCCGGGCTGTCAGCCGTAATCTTCGACCCTCGTCGGCCGCCTCGCAATTAGCTGGCGGGCGGCGGCCAGGGCGGGAAGACGGCCGGCCGCCTGCGGCTCTCCCCCGGCGACCATCACTCAGCCGCGCTCGGCCGGCCCCCATTGATTATGCAGATAGCCGGGAGAGTTGCCATCGCTGCCTGTCCGAACGCGGCCGACCCCCCTCCGGTAATCCCCGTTGGCGCCTGCCGGCAATAAGCCCGGCCAGGGCGGCCCGGTCGGCCGCCTCCCCCCGCCGACCGGCCGACTGGACAATATCGCCGGAGTGCCGGCCGCGCGCCGCCGCCCCACGTGCGCCACCCGCCGCTCCAGCGAGACGAGGTGGTCCCAACGGCCTGTTGTCGGGGACCGCCGGTGGGCACGAGTGCAAGCTGGGGTGTACCGGCCCGGGCCGCCGGCGGGCGTCGGTTCCGTCCGGGCTGGGCTGCAGGTGTTGCGGGATGGTCCGCAGGTTTGTATGTTCTTGGTCAGCTGTAAGGGTAGTAGTATCTACGTGGCTGAGAAGACGTTGAGTTCATGAAGACCTGTGGATAGCTTACTTGAAGATGGGATAATGGCCGGCAGTTTTATTGGCGAATGGGAAGATATGACCATTCATGTCCGACTTGCCAGGCAAATTTTGTTCCGCAAAATTCCTAGATAATAGGAGATCAGCTAATTAATGAACGCCATCATAACGTTTTAACAATTTTGAAAATATTAAATATTGTATTACGTGATGCACGTCCTGGACGTCTACATTACGTAACAATGTTAATTTGAAGAACGCTGCACAATCGGCACCATGCTCATTTATGAACGAAGAGCAGTAACAATAATTCAAAAGCAGTGCGCTCACATACCCCAACCGAGTAAAACACGAACGGGCACAACTAATGCAGAATAATTATGTCTACACAGGTGTCTGGCCTCGGGGCAAATGCACGGTCACCGTGTGATGGCCTCCTGAGCCGCACTTATCCCACGGACTTGACAGAGGGCCGGCAGCTGAGCCTTATTTTCATCGCCGGCTTCAAGTTTCTTATTTGGACTGACTTAAGTTTCTTATTTGGACTGACTCATCAATTTCGACCTTGTGACACGCCAATCAGTGCTAAGAAGCTCAACCGCAAAGCTGGTGTTTGATTCTAAATTGGGTCATCGAAATGACATTTGAAATGTTCGTCCAGCAGTACACTCAATGTTCCCAGGTCTCCCTTTGAGAGATGGGTCTCTGAGAATGGTTGAGACCCGGCAGCCCATGCTTGCCCACATATGACTACGCCCAGTGCATCACGAAGATGCAGGCGATTCTCAATGCGTCTCTCCTTGGGATCACTGGTGAAGGCTCAAAGCTATCTGCGCTCGTCTGTTTTTACATGGGTCAGTTGTTCATGGCTCGCTTGTTCTCTTTTTCGGCTTATTTGTGAAAACTTCGGCAGTTGGTTATGGTCATTTTTGCAATGCGATATGAATTCTGACTGCAATTTCCCAAATCGTGAGTAATTCGTACAAATTGTCAATGTCAAGGCATGACGAACTTTCTCTCATGCAACCAAAGGCCTCACTCACATCGGAACCGCCGACTTCTTTGTTGACTGTAGAGACATAACGTTCTTTTTTCTTCCATTATGAGCGGGCGGTATCTGGTAATGAAAAAGATCGGTGAATATAGCTTTGAGAATGCCTGGAAGTATTCAAGTTACCAATGGCTTTTCATTGGGAACCCAGATACAACTGTTGTAAGACATGGCGAGACCCATTTGAAATATAAAAGGACATCCCCTCTAGTGGAAAACCTTCGTGCTGACCGTGAAGAAATGATGGATCACACCGTCATGAATTTAGCCTTGAAAACACATACCAGCATTTACGTTTTCACTTCACAACTGTGTCACGTAGGCTATAGAGTTATGTAAGCATATCAAGAAAGTGTTTTGTATCGACGCAGAGAATGCCGTTTCACACACGAAAAGTTAAAAGTTGCACGCTCATCACAAAAAGGGGCGGCCCG